CTCTCTTTTGGTTTTTGCCTTAGGAAAAATGTGCTTGTTAGAGAGAGAGCGAGAGAGAGCGAGAGAGAGAGAGAGAGATCACCCCCTCCCCCCAGGGAGGATGGGCCATACTGCAATCCTTTCTCCATTCTCCTGGGATTTGAGTCATGCATGCACATGAGCCTGGCATGATTTTCAGGCCACCATGTTTGATAACCATGGACTTCATATAGGAGTTCAATGCCTTAACCACCATACCATCTGCTGGCCTTCCTTTCCCCTTTCTTACTTGCTAATTTCTGAGAGTAGTAAATCTGACTTCGTATCAATAATATTTTTGCTTATTTGTCTAACTCTAGTATCCTCATTAGGTAGCAGAAGTGCTAATCCATGAGGACAAAATAGCTAGAAAGTGGTATTTGTATACAGTATGTTTTCTCTTTAGCTTTAAGAGTATCTACTTAAATACTGTCTTTCAATTTAAGTTTATGTTGTTTACTTGTATTACAGTCAGTTTTATTTGTTAACGTTTGTATTTCATTTTGGACTCCTTCCTACCATTTTAAGTCCTGGCTGATGTTGTTTAAAAATTATGCGAGTTAAAATTCACTTTTTTGTTGAATTGGTTTTAACAAATGTGTAGTTGTTGTACCACCAGTTATAAGAACACTTCTAGCACGTCCATCACCCTGCATGCAGTGTTTTAGAAGAAAATGTTAGAAGTTGTTTGATACTAAAAGTTCATAGGAAAAGTTCTGTGTGATTTTATTGATGCTCTAGTGTGGTTTGCACAGTCAGATTAAAAGAGAACCTTGTTGGAATAATCAAGCAGTTGAGATACGAAGAGAAAATAGGAAGATTTCACTTCTTAATGTCATCATCATCTGATCTCCACTGTGTTGCCAAAACTTAAATTTTTTCCCAGGTTTTAAATCATTGGATTTTTCATATAGTAAATTGAGACTTCTTAAACAAAAACAGTTCAGAAAATATAATCACATGTGTACTTTAAAAATATTACTTATTACTCCCTGATCTTCCTACTTTGTTCTTTAAGCAAAAAAGAGACAGTTTCAAAGTGACAGAATCTGAGACCAGCAGATGGCATAGCGGATATGTCATTTTACTCCCACGTGACTGACCACAATTTGAGTCCGAGACCCAGGGGCTTGAAAATCACGCTGGACATGTGTATGTGCCCAAGATCCCATGAGGAGAATGGAGGAGAAGGAATTGCAGCGTGCCTGTCTTCCCTGGGACGGGGGTGATTTCTCACTTTGTCTCTCACCGTGTATGCCTGTCTTTGGCAAACGCACGTGGTCTGAGACAAAAACCTCTTTTAAAAAAGTGATAGAATCTTATCCTGGTACTGTTTTAATGTTGTTAAGTGTAGAGAGAGTTTTTTTTGCAAACAGTTTATCTCTTCTATGGAACAAATTATATTTGTCAGTGGGTCAAGAATAAAGGACATAAGATAACTAGTAAAAGAGAGATAAAGTAGCATACCGAATTGTGAAGAACTGTTCAAATTTGCCAGAAAGTAACTGCACATTCATGAGAGAGAGAAAATGAATGAGTATGCAAATCTGGCAAGGCTATCCGTGAACTTCTCACTCTTAATCCATTACTACATTGAAGATAACATTACAGTTTTACACTAATACAGATAACACTGAGAAGGGCTCTCTGGGGGCCAGCAGATGGCGTAGCGGTTATGTCACTGGACTCGCATATGACCAAGTGTGGTTCGAGTTCTGGACCTAGTGGCTTGAAAATCATGGTGGACACGTGTGCACAATACCTGGAGGAGAACTGATGGGGAGGGATTGCGGCATAGCCATTTCTCCAGGTGGTGATTTCTCAGTTTCTTTCTCACTGTCAGCATATGAACCCTAAGGCAAAATCCTCTTAAAAAGGGGGCAGAGGGCTATTTGGCTGTACAGATCAAATAGACCAGAATGGGAAACCTATACATAGGGAAACCTAATTCCTACTTGGAATTCTGCCATTTTCAAGACATGATTGTATGGAAGTTGTATTTTTACATTGATTTCTGATATTAACATGGAATGACCATAAATTTGAAGCATAGTAGTTATCAAAGTGCTGGATCTCAATTCAGTCTTACTCTGAAGGGATATACAAGAGTAACTACATGGTAACTGAAAGTGCACTACAGAGAGGGGTTCCATTACCATTAAGCCAAGTTGTGCCTGTGTATTGTGTTTATGTAGTAAAAGTAACTTACCTAGTCTGTTGTCACTTAGGAAAATACTCCTTTTACTGCAGAATTGTTACTGGTGATCAGGCCAATAAATGAGTTTAGTATTACTTCAGGGATGGAAAGCACTTGGGACATATGAAAACCAATCTTGTTTACCTTTTATCTAGTACAGAATTGGGTGGAATGAGGGCATATGTGGAGACAGGTATATGTTAAGGCATATGTTAAGATAGGTGATCTTTTTATGGAAAATGGTTTCTGGATCTGAAGTCTGGAAGCCTGGAGAGACAATTTGAAGATGATATTCTGCCGAAGATATTTAGAGGAGATGGATAAGCTTTTCTTAGCCAAGAGCTTTGTTGTCTCAGAATCAAATCATGAGAGTCAGGGTCAGCTTCCCGCATCTAACTTGGAGTTAGTTATTGTTGTCAGTTTGATGTGAATTTCCATGCTGTTTTTCAAGCATATATAATAGAACTAGGTTTTAAGTTCCTAAAATATCAATAAATAACTTACATTTAGTGTTTGATTTGGTCTTTGTTTTTTAGATTGTCTTCAAATTATATATGTTAAGGAATGTACTGATTGATGGGTCTCTTACATTTGTGCCCATTTTATGAACACAGGCATTAACTACTTTTGTGTTTCCCAGTATACTGTTAACACAGAAGTCTTGGGAGACAGAGCTAAGGTCTCTCACCAGGTCAGAGGTTATGTTTGCTTTTTGTCCAGGATAATAGAGATAATTTCTTCCTCTGTACTCCTACACTGAGTAGGTTTTCCACAATGTCTGATGACATGGTGGTTAGGATGGCTGGATCCTACCTGGCTGACTGAGCAGTTCAAATCCCAGACCCATCAGCTTGGAAAATATTCTGGCCACGTACATGTGCATGCCCAAAATCCCAAGAGGAGAATGGAGAAGGGATTGCTGTGTGGCCAACCCCCACAGGGAGTGATTTCTCAGTTTCTCTCTTTGTCTTTTTCTGGTGAGAACATGTACCCTATAACTAATAAATAAGTAAGATAAAATAAAGTATTGGTGTTTCCTGAGCTTTAAGTTCTTCAGCTGTGACCGAAGCCCAGTGCCTGTCATCATCCACCTGTGCTACTCGCCACCGTCCTCGGGGGTCATGATGACAGCATGTGGCTCGTGCTGACACCTGTGTTTATAAACTTTCTCCGAATTCTCATTTTTTCCAGCATCCATGAAATTATGGCTGGCTTCCTTGACAGCTTGCAAGTAGAATAAAATCTTCGACCCTTCATAGTTATCTAAGGTTTCATAGATACGTGTTGGAGTAATTATGTGATTTACCTTTAAATAAAAAGTAAAATAAGATTACTGTAGAAATTTAAAGGGCAATAAGAGTGTGTGTTTGTGTGTGTATTAGTGATATAAGTATTTTGTGTGCATTAGTGATATAAGACCTTATGAACCATCACAGCTGAGTAATTTTCTTAGAGTAATCCCTTCCCCCTCATTTAGTGGATTACCGTGCTTGATGTTTACACTAGAGGTTCTGTCTGCACACAGAGGGTCACAGTTCTTAAGTATTTAAAATACAAATATTTTATTTACATAGCGTGTGTCTTACTGCTTAAAAGTTCTTTCAAGGCTCAAAAGAATTGATACATAGGGAGCCAGCAGTTAGCTTAATGGCTATGCCGCTGGACTCCCACATAGGTGACTGCGGTTCACGTCCCAGATCCGGTGGCTTAAAACTCATGTCAGGCACGTGTGCGTGAGTGCCCAAGATCCCGAGAGGAGAATGGAGGAGAAGGGATTGCGGCGTGACCATCCTTCCTGGGGGGGTGATTTCTCGCTTTCTGTCTCTATGTCTCTCTCTGTCTGGCGAGCGCACGCGCCCTATAGCGAAAACCTCTCCAAAAAAAAAAAAAGAATTGATACATAATAAACTGACTCACTGAGTGTTACATTAAAAGGTAGAAGACTATTAAATAAATCCTATTAAATATATAACAACTTTCTGTAAGACAATAGTAAACTATGCTCGACATAGAAAATAACCTCACTTTGCTTCTCAGAAATAAAACTAAGAACAATTAGTAAAAGTCCTTCTGTGTAATTTTTAACTGTTTGAGGGTATATTGATGGGACAAAGCAGTATCTTCTAAAGAACAATATAACTTTCAGTTCAATAAGATTATTATTTTATTTTGTATGGAAATATATTCATGACATATTTGCAGTCAGAATTAAAGCCTATTTAGTTAAATATAACTAAATCTAAATAATTAGTTTGTTTGGAGGTGAGGATCAATTTCAATTAATGCCTTTTTGTTATGGCCAAACTACATCATTTTTTAAAACTAACACTTATCCCAGTAATTAGTCATAGTTTTTTTCTTCTTCATATAGTTAGCATACTGTTGTATCATATCTGAATGTTCCCTCTCCAAGCACTTTGCTCCTTGGCCTGGATATTCCCGTCCCTCCCTCTCTCTTCCACTTCTTTCCATTTGCTTCTCCTTGCTCTGGGGGATGCAGGGCACTGCCGGTCTCCTGCCTCGTCAGGGTGAGATGCTCGCCTGCCTTCCCTTGTGTACATCACAGTCCCTGGGCATTCATGGGGAGACGCTGCCACTTTTTCCACTTGAGAGGGGAGAGGGAAAATTTCTCCCTAAACGCTAGAGTAGAGCTTATTTAAATGACAAAATTTAAGCCTCTTTCCTGACCACTGATGTTTTCTTGCTTTTGAAAGACGAGATAATTTCTTTTTCTTGTCGGAATACATCCCTGTGGAGTTCTTATTTCTCAGACCTTTCAGGTAAAATGGATGATCTAAAGGTAAGAATATTCTGTAGAGAAGCTGGAGTGCTCCCCCCACACACACACTGCCAGGCTGTTACCGGGCCCCCAGCTTGACCGATGTCGGTTGCTCTGTCTCCCCTCCGTTCACCTGCTCCAGGTCAGCCACCGTCCTGACCCTCAGCACAGTCCGTTCATTTTCCGATTTTCGACCATAACGTGGTTAGACTCTCGTGGCACTGTCTTGTGCGTAGTTTCAACTTTGTATTTCTGAGATCCCACTGTGTTGCTGCAGAAAGATGCTGAGGGGGAAACTTGGGGTTAACTTATTGCTCCCCATTCAGCCTTTGCTTGTGCAGGTGGTCCTGAGACTGCAGCTGTTTTGCTTTTTCCCTCCTTTGGCTGGAGTAGAGTAGTTATTTTTTGTTTTTTAACTAGGTGCCCCTTTGCTTGTCATCGGGGTGGAGAAAACATTTTTCTTGAGCCATTTTTGTCTGCACTCGTTGGCATTCTTAGATTGCAGACTTCATCAACCCGACTGGGAGATGTGAGGCGAAGGAAAATCTGGTGGCCTCATCACCATGGCATTCCTCAGGTCCTGGGGCCTTACTTAGGTCTGCGCTCCACATTTCAAGAGTGGTCATCTTTTTTTTTTTTTTTTTAAGTAAAGCCTTCTTCTATAAACGAATCTCCACCTGAAGTTTAGAATGTTTTTTTCTGAAAAGAAAACCTGATTTTAAATATTCTTGGTCAGACTTTAAAATACAATACTTTTTTTTTTTTTTAGATGATAATCTTCTTTCTTTCTGTTTTTTTTGCAGTAGGACGTGTGCTTGCTAGAGAGAGAAAATATGAGAAAGCACTCCTCAGGGGAGATGGCAACATCACAATCCCCTCTTTTTTTCTTCTTTCAGGAGTTTGGGCATGTCTGCACATGTGCCTCACATGTATTTCTTTTTTCTTTTTTTTGGGGAGAGGATTTTGCTACAGGTCGCATGCGCTCACCAGAAAGACAGAGAGAGACAGAAAGCAAGAAATCATCCCCCAGGGGGGATGGCCACACCGCATTCCCTTGTCCTCCATTCTCCTCTCAGGATCTTGGGCACACATGCACACGTGCCCAGCGTGAATTTAAGCCACCGGGTCCAGGATGTGAACCGGGGTCGACTACGTGGGAGTCCAACGAGATAGCTATTACTCCAGCTGCTGGTCCCATGTTTTTCAAGCCCCTAGGTCGGGGATTCACACAGTGCTGCTGGCTATGTGGCCGCCTTAGCCTCCCTGCCGCCTGTGGCTTGTCGTTCTTTGAACAAGTCCTCGACAACCTCCAAGTTAAATCTTGTTGACGGTGATGCAGAGTCTTCTTGTGCGTGGTGGTTTTGTTGTTGTTAGACTCATCAGTTTGCTTTTCCTTGTTTTGTTTTTAATGTAATGACAGTGATTTTAGCTGAATTTAGTGGGAAGATCAGGAAAATGTATGTCTGTTCCATCTTTCTGAAAACAAATCTACTGATAGTGGTTTTACTCTAATTTTTTTTATAAACTTTTTAAATCATTAGGGAAAGTGGAATATTCTTACGCGTGTGTACTCAGTTAACAATGAATATCTTCACCAAAATAAAGACGTTAAGCAAGAATTTGGGGTAAAACACAGTCTTACGTAATTCTATGTATTTGAAACCTAAAGGATTTTAATTTATTAACTCGGTATAAACCTATATTCCTGTGTTTAATTGCAGAATCTTTTAGCTGAAAAAGTAGAACAGCTAATGGAATGGAGTTCAAGGCGCTCAATCTTCCGCATGAATGGTGATAAATTCCGAAAATTTATAAAGGCACCACCTCGAAACTATTCTATGATTGTTATGTTCACTGCTCTTCAGCCTCAGCGGCAGTGTTCCGTATGCAGGTAAGTAACTTGTGTGTTTTTAAACTATCATCCTAGACATTTATATTTATTTTATTGTATTAAGATGAGTGTTGTAGGGATGAAGGCATTTTCCACTCACCTTTGAAAGTGGAAATCATTGATACTAGGCAGATTAATAGATGACAAAAGGCATGCAAATTTTATTTACTGTATAAATATGTACATAGGAGCCATAGAGAATATGAATGCAAAGAGTAGCCAGCTGGTTCAGGCTGTAATTCGTAAGAGAAAAGCAAATGGGGTGGAGGGAGTGGTGTGTAGGCAGTTTTAGAGTAAACGATTTTTAGGAGGAAAGAATGAAGCCTGTGCTCAGGCAACGGTCGCTTAGTGCTTCTCCTCGGGAGCTGGATGGGCTTGAGAGATAGACAGTGCCCGTGACCGCCTGTCCAGGTCTGTTGCATTCTTCAGCCTCTCCTGCAATATGGGCTTAGTTAATGACATTTCAGGGAGGGGACTGAAGGCAAGTTTTTTCTTCCCTCTCTGGTGGATCCTTTCCTTAGGCAGATGTTGGAGTATCAGAGGAAAGACCTCTTTGCACTTTGGGTAGAGGAGAGGGAGGCGTGGAAAAGGTGGGCAAGAGGTAGGGAGGCGTGGGGAAGATCAGATAGAGAGCGTGGTTCTGAGCTGACCCTTTAACTCAGCGTGTCAGAGGATGTACATGTGTTTGGAGCATCATTTTTCTGAGCCCCAGCAATATATAAGAGAAATAAACAGTTCAATGTGCTAAACAAATGCAACTGTGTATTTAAAAGTAAGTCAAAGTCTGTGTATTCTAGGAAAAAAATGACTTTGATAGACACAATTTTTTTTTTATTATTTTGAACATATAAAGTGCTTACTGGCCAGTTTTCTATACTATCATAAAAATGATTTGTCATCTTTATGCCCTGCATATTGCTTTGTAGATTACATGATTTTGTAGGGTCAGTGGAGTGGCCTCCTTTAATGTATCCTATTTAAACAGTATAATAGACAGGATTGACTTTTATTAGGGAAGTTCATTTACTTTCTTTTCTTTTCTTTTTTTTTCTCTTAAGAGAGTTTTGCTATGGGGTTATGTGAGCTCACCAGAGAGACAGACACACAAAGCAAGAAATCACCCCTAGGGGGATGACCGCTCCGCAATCTCTTCTCCTCTATTTCCTCTTGAGATTTTGGGCATGCATGCACATGAGTTCAAGCCAGCAGGTCCGGGTCATGAACCCTGGTTGACCGTATAGGAGTCCAGCACCTTAACCACTACACCACCTGATGGCCTCTCATTTACTTTTTTGATACCTCCAGTGATAAATTTCTTATGCTATAGAAGTAATCAATTTGAAATGAATAAAATAGGAATGAATTAAAATAGGAACAAATTAAAGAAAATTTTGGGGCAAGTACAAATACAATACATATGCAGCAAATTCTTTTTTAATTAGCTTTTTATTTAGAGTTAATTGTAGGTTCACATTATAGTTGTAAGAAATAAATACAGAGAGCCTGTATACCTTTTACTTAATATTTCCAGTTGGTACCGTCTCGCAAAACTATAGTGTAATATCCCAGGCAGGATTTTGGCATTGCTACCATCAAAATCCAGAACAATCCTATCACATAATAATACTTACTCTTGCCCTTTATAGCCACATACCTCTCCTACCGCAGTTCTTTCTACCCCTTGAATTTGACTTCTGGCATCACTAATCTGTTTTTCATTTCTATAATTTTGTCATTTTTAATAAATGAACTTATATAGTTTGTGACCTTTTGGATGTACCTTTCTTTGTTTATAATAGTTCCCTCAAAATCCATCCAAATTGTATTTATCAACAATTCATTCTTACCATTAGTAAGTAATATTCCATGGTATGTTTATTCTGTTGTTTATTTAACCACCCCACATTTAAAGGACATCGTGGTTGTCTCTAGTGTTTCGCTATTCCCAATAAAACCACTATGAGAGTCTTCTGCAGATTTTTGGGTAAGCTAACATGGTTATTAGGTGAACTTACATTTTTACTTTTCCTGGGCAAAGAGTATGATGTTTGGGTTGTCTTGTAGTTTAATGTTTAGTTTTAGAAAAAACTACGAAATGTTTCCAAGTATGTCTGCAACATTTTACATTCCCACCGGCAGTATATATGTGATCAAGTTTCTCCTTATTCTAATCATGTTGATGAAATGTTATGACTTTTGCCCATTTTTATTAATTGTATTTTTTTTTTGAGACATTTTTTGCTATAGGGCACATTCGCTCGCCAGAAAGACAGAGGCAGAGAGACAGAAAGCAAGAAATCACCCCCCTGCAGGGGAGATGGCCACACCATAATCCCTTCTCCTCCATTCTCCTCTTGGGATCTTGGACACGCACGCATACACACCCGGCGTGAGTTTAAGCCACCAGATCCGGGACTCGAATCACAGTCGGCTACATGGGAGTCCAGCGACATAGCCATTATGCTATCTGCTGGTCCCTATTAATTGGATTTTTTAAAAGGTGTTTGCCATAGAGCACATGCATTAGTCGTGGGGGTGGTGGGAGAGAGAAAGTGAGAAATTCTCTCTTGGGAGGATGGCCATGCTGCAATCCCTTTCTCCTCCATTCTCCTCTTGGGATGTTGGTCATGCACTCACATGTGCCCAGTGTGAGTTTCAAGCCAAGATCCTGGACTCAAAGTGCTGTTGGCCACGTGGGAGCCCAGTGCCATAGCCACTGCACCATTTGCTGGCCCCTCTAATTGGATCTGCTTAATTTAATTTACTAAACTTGAAGAATTCTTTATATATTTACGTACTAGTCCTTTGTCAGATTTGTGAGTTTGAAATACTTTTTTTCCCTGTGACTTGTCTTTTTGTTCTTATTACACGGTGTCTGGCAGCTTTTAATCTTGATAAGTTTAATGAATCATTCTCCTTTTATAGCTTTTACTTTTGTTGTCAAATTGAAGAACTCTCTGCATCATCTTAGATCTCAAAGTTTTTCTCCTGTATTTTTTCCTAAAAGTTTACTGTTTCATATTCTGTTTTGATCTGCTCTTTAAAAGAAAGCATTCAGTCTTTCATTTAAATATATTAGTTGTAGTTTTTGTTTTGTTTTGTTTTGTTTTTTATAGCTTGTCTGAGTCCGTTCTTCTTTATTTCTAGTTTCAGGGTATTTTTATCATGACAGAGTGTTGAATTCTGAAAAATTTTTTTCATGTCAATTGATATTTTTTTTTTCTTTAGCCTGTTGGTATAATGGACTAATTTTCAATATTGAACCCTAAATTTCAATCGATTGTGATGTATCAGTCTTTTATGTATTGCTGGGTTCTATTTGCCAATATTTTGTTGAAGAATTTTGCATGTAAGTTCATGAGAGATGTTGGTCTGTAGTTTTCATATTTTACAGTGTCGTTCCCCAGTTTTAGTATCAAGGTAATATTAGTGTCATAAAATTCGTTGGAAAATTTTCTCTCCTTTTATTCTTTTGGAAGAGATTATAAAATTAATGTTAATTTTTCTTTAAATGGCCTGTAAAATTATCTAATGAAATCATTTGGGTCTGGAGATGTTCTTTTATTTCAAATTACACATTTCAATTTCTCATAATTAAAAGGAGAAGCAGGGTGTTTATTTCTTCTTGGCTGAATACTTTGCAAGAAAGACACACTTGATGTGTGTGTCCACATATATATTCCGTGTAGTCCTAATTTGGGCTTTTAAATCATTTTGCACTCTAGTTAAAACAAGTTGTTACTAACTTAGGTCAATGAAAAAATCCATTTGACGCAGACTAGCTTTCAGAAAGGAGATTTCAGTGTTTCAAAAATTTAAAAAAGTATTTTTGTTATAACCAAATAGTGAATGTATGTTGGGGCAAGACTTGAAATGGGTGAAAACATGGTGGACAAAATATTTTGAACAAAAGCACTCAGATGAGTCCAAGTTCCACTTCTATCAAATTGGAGGACCCTTACTCCAGTGGGTGTTAACACTGTGGTCAGAATTGGGCTAGCACATATGGATGGAGTATGTGTACCTGAAGAGATGCCAGTAAAGCCCTGCTCAGAAAGAAATACTACCTTTATTGACATTTTGCTATAGCAGTTTAGTTTCCAGTGAAAATAAAAAATGTCTCTGGCATTCTGTAATACCATATTTATGGGGACCAGCAGTTGGCGTAATGGCTATGTCGCTGAATTCCCACGTAGTTGACCGCTGATCACGTCCCGGAGCCGGTGACTTAAAACTCACGCCAGGCGCGTGTACGTGCGTGCCCAAGATCCTGAGAGGAGAACGGAGGAGAAGGGATTGCGGCGTGGCCATCCCCCCTGGGGGGTGATTTCTCGCTTTCTGTCTGTCTCTCTGTCTCTGTCTGTCTGTCTGGCAAGCGCACACGCCGTATAGCAAAAACCTCTCCAAAAAAAACCCCCAAAAAACTCCATATTTATTTTAGGAAAATAGTTTGCTCCTAAAAATTAAATATATTATTGTTTATAATTATCAGTATTATGAAGAGATGTATTTAATTAGTCATTGATTTTTGCAATCGTAATCTAGAAAAAAATTATTTTTCAAATATTTATTACATAGTTCAATGTAATTAGGTGTATTTTGGTATATACACTGAAATGTCAAGTGGTGTATCCTTAGGGTAGTATTTCACTTAGCCCCTGTGTTGTTAAATCCTTAAATGTATACCCTTAATATTTTGATGGCACCTGGTTTACAACAGCCTTAATTTGTTTTCTATTTGTTTATTACAGCATATTTTGTAATGAGCTTTTAAAATTTAGAAGATATTTAGATTTATAAGATAAAAAAAGTAATTAGAAAAATTGAATGAATGGATCAAAGCGGGGGTGGAGTTATTGGAGAAGACTGAAAAATAGGTGAAGGTTTAGAGACAAATGGAAGATGTACAGCAGATTTATGAGCCTTATAGCCAGAATTATTTTTTCCTTTTTTTTTTTCAATAGAATTTTTTGCTATAGGGTGTGTGTGCTTGTTGAGAG